GATCTACAATTTTGTTTGTCAGCAAAAAATAGTGAGCTAATGTTTACTACTACCGTGGCTGGTGATGAAATTGAGATGGCCCTATGAAGCAATTGTTTATGACAGCCGCTTGAAAGTAAAGATAGATGTGCAATAAAACTGATATCAAGTAGGTTATGTGAAGTAGAGTGTATGCTTAGATGTTATCGCGCTTTTTATGGGTTTTTGAGAGGCAGAGTTTAAACGCATATAATATTAGAACCCGTCGATAGGCGAATGATAGCAAGCACTCATACAAAAACTTAAATTCGCTCGAATTCAAAAAAAAAACTGTTCATGAATTTTGTAATTAATCAAGTAAATTGTCCTCTATTTTTAATTTACTTTGCTAGGTTCAGTTTTATTTTACTTTTTAGTTTATTTTTTTGTATACATTTTCTTACTGGCTCACTTTCTGCACACTTCAAAACCATTCTCATTAGTAACCACTCAAACGAGCGCCAATCTTTAAGAATGTATGAGTGCTTTTTACGATCGTTGTTTTCTTAACTTTTTGACTTTTTAAAATGTCATTTGTACATTGAACTCTGCGTGCTCGAAAGATCAATTCAGGTTTTTGCTGTTTCATTGTTAAATTTTAATTTTTCTTTTGTTGTTAGAAAAGTATATTATTTGCAATTATTTAAAGAGAATAAAAGAGTAAATTTTTTTAACTTGGTACCGTAAAGACCCTCTTACATAAAGAAAATATGAAAAAAATATTGTAAAAATAATGCCAGTTAGTACTTAACTACATTTCTTCTTGGCAACCTTATTCTTCTTGCTATTTTGTACTGAAGATTATGTAAGCATTTTTGAAGAATTCGGAGTAAATTATCGACTTACAGTTTAGGCTTAATTGGTTGCTAACAAAAATTTTCAATATTTTCTTATATTTAAGTGCTTATGCTTCTAATGGAATTTAATGATGTGAAAATTTAAACACATAATAAAATTGTAACAGGCCGATTTCTGTAGATTATAATTATTAAGGAAAAATTAATATGTCGAGTCTTTATTAGAGCAACAGAAGCCAAATCAATAATTTTTAGAATTTTTGTCTGTCGTCTGTCTGTACGTGCATCACTCGAAAACTAATACATTAACGGAAGTGTAGTTTTTACTGATGTATTGCTAGAGGTCAAGCTTAAAATATAGAAGAAAAAATAATTACAGAGTTGCCACCTATTTTAAAATTGCAGTTTAAGTAAATTAATAAGATGACATATATATTACAATATGGCTGTCAAAAAAATGCGGTTTAAGAATACTTGCAGCCGAAGATATTTCTGTGGAAGGTTGCCACATGTTAGAAAATTTTAATTTGATTTAGTTGATAAGATAAATCAAATATTGCAACATGGGTATCAAGCTAAAGAGGTTTAGCTAATTACCGAAAATATTTTTGAAGAGGGTTGCCACCTGCTTGAAAAATTTTGTTATAAAATATGTTAAATATTACAATATGGGTAATAAACTAAAGAGGTTTAAAAAAGTTAACTGTCGAAAATATTGTTGAAGTTCGTTGACACCTATTTGAAAAACATAATTCAGTTATAACTTTATTATAACTTTGAAAAAATGTGAGCGATATGTCGACTCGAGTTATAAGATTATAAATTAAATTTCCAGGAGAAAGCCGATACTTTATCTACACATTCATAAAAATTAAAGAATGCTTCAAAAATCCAAAAAATTGTTTGAAAATCTCTTTCATAAAGAGTCTATCCCCTTGTCCGCTTAGCGCATAAATATAAATACAATCCTTTTCCGATTTGAGCCGATACCAAACTACTTCTTTACGCCAATTTTTCATACCTAGTGTAAACAGGTCTCTTCGTTTGGTCCGTGGACATCAATGCTTAAGGTATCCACACACTGGTACCGATTCGGAGGATCTTTTCACTGAAGCAACATCATCCATGCGTAAGATATAGCTAAGCCAGCTCAGTCGTTATTTCTTCTCATAAGCATGTTTCTTCTCATGAGCCCGTAAAGCTCCTCATTACCTCTTCTTCGGTATCTGTCAGGGCGCGGATAAGTCAATCCCAATTTGGACGGAGGACCTTACATATATGCAATGTTAAGAAGACTGATTCAGTCATAATTGGTACACACAACTGAATCTCCCTTCTCGTATATTAGACAGAGTACATTAAGATTCCAATCTTCGATCAGGTCTTCACCAAACCAAATTGCGCTAAACAACTAGTATATCGCGTAACCAACTTTTCGCCGCCGGCTTTGAGCAGCTCAGCGGGTGCAGTGTCCGGTGGCTATATTATCTTTAAGCCCCGACTCTGGCGGCCGCCCTCCCGGCAGGCAATGGTAAGCCTCCGAGCTTCTCATTAAAACAATCTGACGTTTGAAGGCGTCGTAAAACTGTAGGTCTCAACATTTGTGCGGCAACGTCACACCACGGATAGTAGGAAGAGCTCGGTCTATGTGTGAAGTAACAAGTGTGAACTACCAAATTTAGTAGGATTAAGACCAAAACGACAACAGGTTCTAGCTTAATGGAAGTGCATGTGGCTATTCTACCAGCATTACAGTAAACTGCAAAGCTGAAGAATTATCTACGCGAATCACTCTTTAGTTATTCTCGCTTACAATCGACTCATAAAGCGCTTGGCGAACATCCGGTCCAGATCATCCGGTCAGATTTAAACCCCAAAGCTCTATTTTGCTAGGCGCATACTCTGTTTACTTCGGCTACACAATATATGAAACTTCATTGCTTGAGCGCAAGGGTTAATTGAAGCCGCATGGAAAAGCTTTAACATTTTTAAGATTACAAAAATAAATCCTAAATACAAATTACTTAAATTATGCATAGTTTACATGTACCTTTATCGTTTTATATTTAAAACGTTACTTCAATTATTTGGTCGCACGTACATATGTATGTATGTATATACCAAAAAAAAATTGAACAGAATCCAAAATTTTGCATAGAAAAAAATCCATTAAAGTTTTTAGATTTCAAGTTGTCATTTAACTTTTGAAATTGGGGTGCAACTGGGGTGGTCGCGATACAAAGCGTTAATCACACATTCACACCCAAACACATACACGCACGCATCAACTACATACGTGAACTTTCATAAAATTTATTGCCGTAAAATACGAGAAATACCCAAAACCGAATATTAATTTCTGCAGTTGGCAGTGATATACAGTTCTGTTAATTTATGCGAATATGACACACATACATGCATACTTGCAAATGTGTATTCCCTGCAGAAAAAAATTATCAATTGATAAAAAATTACCCACTTGTAGTTGGGTTTTTTCCGGGATTTCTATAAAATATATAACTTGTAGTTAGCTACAAAAAGCTAACTTTAAACTAGTTGGCAAGTAATGCAGGAGTAATGCAGGAGATTGTTTTCTTTAAACGCGTTTCTATTTAAATATCCTGCACTTCGCAAATACTTTTTCGAATTGAGGACAAATAAAAAGTTATGTCTGACGGAGTTCGAATGTGGGACCACCTAAAACTGAATATGTAAACAAATATTAAATGTATATTAAAATAAAACAAAATAAAGTAAATAAATAAAAAAATTAATAAAATATTTTGTTTTTCCTATTATATTTTATGTCCAAAATCAAATGCAGAGGTAACCACCCTTGACTATTCCGCGGCCATCGCTATAGAAATATAGTTAGCTTGACTTTTAGCTCCTTCCCTATCAACTTTAAGTTAGCTTACAGTTAGATACATTTCCTGCAGGACTTATACACATAGCTATACACTCATATAAAGTTAGTTGCGCAAATAAAATCGAGCACACGGCTGCACCCCAGCCAACTGTTGGACAAACAATCAAAACGGATGTGAGCAGAGCACACGGACTGTTATGAACTTAAAAAACGCACTTTAGTATGTAAATGAATACATCCATATATGTATGTATATGTACTTATGTTTATACCCTGCAGTACGGGGGAGTGACTACAGGACTGCTGAATCGGTAGCTACCTAATAAACACCGCCAATTACCGACCGACTACTTGCAGTGTATTTCATCGATTACTTTTACAAGGAAATGTCCTAGACGGTAGTCGCCATCGGCTCTCTCTGCACTATCGGGAGTTACTAAAGTAGTCACTTGCGTGATTTATGGGCGCCCTCTGTCGTAGTTTTTCGCTATTCTGCTTACGACTGGTTCGACTCTGCACTACCATGTGCACTACCACGGGTTAATAGAGTAGCTACTTACCTAGGAGTCATTGCAGTAGCGGTTCAAAAGTAGCGATTGACTCCAGC